TTGTCCTAGGAGGCCCACCTGGGGGTTCTGCTGTCACTTGGAAGAACTTAAGGTGGGCTTGGAGAACTTTCCAGAGGTGGTGACTTCCCTTAAGCAACAGAAGTATGATCAAGGTCATGATAACACCTGCAGCCACACACCCTGTTAGAGTCACAGGGCCCTGCCCTGTGCATTAGTTCATTTCCATTAGTTCATTTCCTTCTTGAGACTCTTGACCTATCAGAGGAAGAAACAGAAGCTCAAACTCAAGTACTGGACCAAGCCAAGGTGTGTGTGTGTGTGTGTGTGTGTGTGTGTGTGTGTGTGTGTGGATGAGTGTGTGTATATATATATATATATATATATATATATATATATAATTTGTAGAAAAGAAGACTTAAATGTACTAGGAGAGAACACCAGTCACCATATAGTCTAGACTAGAATTCCTCACTTATTTTCAGGGCCTATTTTCCCTAGTGATAGTAAGGGCATCCCTGTTGCAGCCTTATAATTTGGGAGCACCCAGGTAAAATACTCTGGGGATGAAGATGTTGGAAATCAGGAGACAACTAAAGTATGAATTTCAGGATTTGCACATAAAAATTAGATATCTAGCACTATCTTTCACATGTTATATTGCTGTATAAGTTTTGAATGTGTTATTTATAATATATATGTATATGTGTGTGTGTGTGTGTGTGTGTATGCATGCAAATATATTATTTTTTTTCCAGAGTAGAGAGGGGGAATCTGCAGGATTGATCTATTAATTTTTTATGTACAGAAAATGTAATTTTATGAGGTTACTGATACTGATTTTTTAATTTTATTTCAAGAAAATGATTGATAACTTTGACATATGAGAATCGGGGAAAATTTTGCTATTTCATCCATAATTTGGCTCATTTCTTTTGCCAGTTTTTGGAGAGCTTGCTTTCATATATCAGTTTAAATCATTTTTAAAATGGAAAATCCTAGCTTTGCACCATTTTCCTCCATTCTTGGTGGTAGGAAACAACAAAAAATATCAAGGTACATATGTCTATTCCCTGTTAAACCTTCAAAGTATCTGAAAGACTAAATAAAGAAGATGATGGTCAGCTACTGCCCTCTGTTGAT